ATATATCTCTAGAGGACAGCTCTGAAGTCTGAATCTCAGTGAGACATAGAATTGTTAAATTAAGTCAAGCCAAATTGATGAGAAGTGAGACAAAGTGGAACTGCCTTTTGAGCCCATGGCTTTGCCTTATTTGCCATCACACAGCTCTCATCAGCTCTGCTAGCTTTGGGATTTCTAAGTTCACAGCCATCAAGAGGGCACGACTGGGTCTCAGACATTTTTCCCAAAGCTAGAGTGCTGTGTGTGAAAGTGCTTTGTTTCAGTCCTAAGAGGAGATTTTTCTGGTATTTCCAATATTGTGTTTCCAGCCTGCACATTGCAAAAGCTGAGATGTTTTGAAGAGCAGCTGAGTAGCTCCCAGTAGCTGGTGTACCCACTCCATGCAAACTGTATTATCTTTTTTTCTCCCTGTCACCTGCTCCAGAGATGGTATCATTTGGTCACAGGTGAAATCAAGGCAGATCATGGTGAATTTGACAGAACAGAAATCATCCCTGATGTAGTTTCTATAGAATGGTAGTCACCCATGCTTTGCAGGGGATGAAACTGAGACAGTGGCAGAAACAAGGAAATTATCTCCCAGGTAGTTCTAGCACCTGAAAATAACTTGAAAAAGTGCTGAAGCACTTTTCCCAAAGGTTAAAGTTCTTTCTAAAATCTGTTGGCTGTAATTATTTTCAGCTACTACAAGAATGAAAACCTGAACTCCTCTTCCCTGCACCCTGGCCTTTTCACCCTTGGCAAATACTGTCTTGCCAAGGGACCTCATTTAGAAGTCATCACTTCAGTTTTTTATCAGCCAATGTTACCTTGACCAACAGAGGGCAACACAATGAAGCAAGGTCAGTCAATAGTTATTTGCTACCTCAAATTTCTTAATTTCTGAGTGTTATTCTGGTTGATAAGATAATCTCCATATTGGTATCATATTGTTTAAAGGCCCAGGCCCAGTCAGATCACCCATTTAGTCCCTCAGCTGCTGTTTGTATCGTGATAAACCTTCCATTCAAGTGCCAGACCAAAACTTCTACTGAATCTCTCTCATTTAACTGAGTCTTCACAACACAGGCTTCTATAGAAAGTAGGGCTACACAACTTCATCCTAAAATAATGTCAAGCAGCAAAACACAAGTAGTTTCACTGGGTTTCATGTAAGTTCCTTTATTATACCTGATTGCCCATAATGGAAAACGTAGCTGTATCTGCATTCCTGGCTCCATCAATAAGACACTTTATTTTCTTACTATTCTGAAGCACTCCCCAAGCTTCTGCTAATAATTTTGCTTGACCTTTATTAAAGACCAAGCATTAGCTGGCAATTAGATTTGGTGATCCCTTTGGTGATTGAGGCTCAGTGATTTACTGTAGATTATAAATAGTTCAAATGTTTCATTATGTTTATTCTTTATACAAGCTTTGTGGCCAGGTAAGCACTGACATGACATTCACTGTTAAATGATCTCATTAAACTTCTTTAATTTAAGTGGTGCAACACTTCACCTGCCACATTATCCAAGGACTTCTGCAATGCACATTAAACATTCAGCATGAAGAGATGCTCTACTGTAGTTCACCTTGTTGGGAGTGAAATTTCAGTCCCTGAACATAAGGTTGACTACTTTATGCTGTTTGTCAGAGCCAATAAATAATGCAAATAGATAACCATGTAAAATAAGAGGCTCAAGACATCAATAGCTTTCCCACAAGGTTTTGAAAGAGGATCTCAAAAGAAAAGACTTTAAATTGTTAAAAAATACCACTAAAATTAAAAAAGTTAAGGAAAAGGAAGGTGCTGTTTTCTTTCATTTCTTTATGAATGCAATGACTGTGAGAGATAATTTCTTGAGAACCTTGCAGGCATGTGTTCCTTTTTTATTCACAAGCCCAAGCCAAAGGAAGGACAGTCACACAACCTCCCACCTCTGAGCTGCTTGTGAAGGTTTGTCTTTAGCCATTTCATCCCTCCTTTTCCTGCTGAGAATGTTTAACAGAGCTGAATGAAGTCAAAGTTGGATAACACACCACATCTTTTCACTTAAGCCAGTAAATAATATATTGCTTCATGATTAAAGGGAAACACTTTTGTTGGAGGCATCTTCATGTCCAGAGTGTTTTCCAGTGAATTGGACTGCAGTAAGAAGGAGAAGCACATGGATTAGGACCTCCTCTGTGCTACTGCTGGACCTACAGACTCCACAAACAAAACATTCAGGCATAAGGAGGAATAATAAGGGTATCTGTATTTTTCTGGCTTGCATATGTTTTATTTTACACATTTTTAATTGTTTCCCTCACAAAATGAATAGTTCTAATATTTTTCTCTCCTGCCTTTATATTTTATGATGCTTAACATCTGCTTCTGGACATCTCTTCTGCAGGATGAAAGGCTCCTGGTAATTCTACTGTAGTCTGTGAACATACCAGACTACTCCCTGGACAGATTTAGGCTCCATAATATTGTATTAACCCCACATATTGAGTATGGTTTTTTTGACTTAGAAGGCTGGATTAGCTTTTATTATCAGAAGAGAAGTAGTAAAGGTTCCAGTATTACAGATGGAATGGCAGATGGGAAGTGAAAGCTTAATATGAAGCAGCTCTGGATAAAAACTATTAATCCACAAAATTCATATGTTCTCATGCAGGGAAACCTAGCAAAACCCACTGCAACATGACTAACCAGAGAGAAGTGTAAAGTGCCCCTAGCCCATTATCTGACAAATCATGGCATGGGGTCTGAAAGAAAAAAAAGAACCCCTCAAACACCCTATTTCTTATTTCCTGGAAAAACAGTTAGCTCTCTCTGGATTATGCAGGGAGGTAATGCTTTCCCCTAAAGATTATAAATAATAATGATTTATAGCACCTCCACAATGAAAATGAAATGGACTCATATACATATATATATATATATATATATTATGAGATAAGTTTTTCCACAGTTTATAGCTGTGATATTCCATATTTAAAGAAATACTTAACGTTACTTGTAAGTCACTGTCACTGAAGCTGGAGCACTGAAAAAAGTGTGTTGTTTTTTGTTGAAGTGCATCATGGTGTGAAGGGGAAGCACGTTCCCTTCAGTTCTGATAGCAGTGCTGTGGCAGGAAGGGAAGCGAGCACGTCCGACCCTGCCCGGGCGCTGGCAGCCACTGAGAGACCTGCACGGAGTCTGAGAGCCACTGCAAGGGGGAAGAACACCTTCAAGAACTGCCCCTCTGAAGAAACAAGTGCCTGGAATTTCTCCAGCAGAGCTGGAATGACTGCAAGACAGCATGGCATTATTGCAAAGGCTCCATCAACACTGATCCAGCTGCAGCCTGCCCTGCTGGCTGCTGGTGGCCACGTCTGGAAGCCACTGACCCCATCTGGCCCTGTTGTTTGACTTGTTCCACAGGGAACTGGGAACAGTTCAGCCTGCCCCAGGTCATGGCCTCAGCATTACAGGGTGGTTAGGGTGGACACAACACCTCTGGGTAACTGGACACACCTTCTGGCACCAGTGTACAACCATACCAGACCTTCAGCAAACACTCTCCTACAATTTATCCTGTTTGATTCACAGTGCCATCACCGACTTCTTCCTTTATGGTCTTGCATCACTCCACTTTTTAGCATCAATACAGCATTCCTCACCAGGAAAGTGAATAATAGGGAATAACAAGCCAGCTTTTCCAAAGAGATATACAGAAAACTACATACTCTCCCTTATAAGCAAGTTTGATATGTCAAAATTGTTAGTTCTCTTCCTGTTGCACATCAAAAGTGTTTAAATACTGTGATTTCTTAATTCAAATCCCCATCTTCTAATATCAAGGTAGTCTTGGTAACCCTTGTGCTCAAATCTTTCTTCCCAAAATGTGCTGCATTTCACTGAGAGTGCTTGGAAATGGGCACCAGCAACAGAGCCTTTTGTGTTTTTGTCAGTCCTCACAAAATCCTTCCTAAGGCACAGGCTCAGGGGTTTTGTCATTGTTCACTTCAGTGGCAATTTCTGTCCAAGGAACATCTTCAGGAAGGGATTCAAGCTTTGAGAGAGATCCTGGGGAAGCCTGACCAGTGGAGGCAGATTTCTCTTCCAAAAGTATTAAAAACATGTTGTATCATCACTCATCAGGAAATCGCTCAAGAAAGTCACTTCCCCTTTCATTAACTCATTTCAGCATAGAAGGAAACAGAAGCCACAAGGAGACTTTTGTGTTTCCTTCTTCTTAATAATTCTTACAACCTAAACCTAAAAACAGTTTCAGGACACTTGGGGATTTTTGGGTGTCTTTTCTGTTGTAGTAGTGGTGGGGTTTTTTTCTTTGTTTGTTTGTTTGGGTGGGGCTTTTTATAGACAACTTTTGAACAATGTAGCAAACTTACTGAATGCAGCTCTGAGGCCTGGGTGATGTAAATCCAGAAAGAATATAATTTCACTTAAAATCACAAGCCTTATCATGCGATGTGTGTGAAATTCTTAGCCTGATGCCATCTGAATAAAGATATTCAGGCAATGGTTGGTGCTGAAGATATAACTGACTCCTAGCAACTTATTTGTCACTTCTACAACCATTATCCTCCACAGAAAAAGTACTAAAAAAAGGGAGAGGAGTACCTGAATCTATTCATACCTTCAACACTTGCTGAGACATCAAATCACACTGTTAATCAGAGCCCTGGGAGGGAGGAATCTCTCCATGCCTGGGTTTCATTTGCTGAGCTCCAGCACTTCTGGCTACTTTCCTCAAGCTCTCCTGCAGGTATCCCTTTTGCTGGAAATAATGACTAACTGGAGCAGCCTCTCAGTGGAAGTCCCCCCCAGGCAAATGGAAGACACACAGGGTACAGCAGGTGATTGAATCCTTGGCTAAAGTCAGACACCAGCTCACCTACAGGAGTTTAAAACAAAAGAAACTGCTCCTCTGCTTCTTGCAGCACAGCACAGACACTTCATTGCTTATCTCCATACTTCCTTTAGGAACAAAACATGTACATTGTTAAAGTACTCATTGTACCTGATTGGGTAGTCGGCAGCACTGAGGTTAATGAAGAAATCCCAGGGCCAGTCACTCATCTCCATTAAGTCCTTCATGGTCTGCAGGTAGGTGGTCAGAAGACTTGCTCCTCCCCAGATAGTGGCCATTCTCCAGGAGGTGACTCTCACATTTGGGTACTGGCTGGCAAACTGCAGCACTTGCCGGTGCAGGTAATTGGATCGCTTTGCAGGAGAAAAGAGTAATACATTCAAGTTATTCTGTCCAAAACTGTCTCTCCCTGAATCCACTAAAGGCCTACCCTACATCTCGACTCACTGAGTGCTGCCATTGCTTTGCCCTCACTTACTATGGCACACAGTCCTCTTTTGCTAAATATACAGAGAACCCTGGTTAATATTTTTTATTACAACTACAGTCATCACTAACCAGTGTGATTAGCTTTATTCACCATTTGTCATCACAGATCCCAAAGGGCTTTTGTAAAGGAGGTGACTGCTACTGCTTCCCTTTTGCAGCGTGTCACTCGCCCAAGGCACCTCAGGTCAGCTCTCCATCAAGCAGGCCACCACCTCACTCTGCATCAACTTATCAGTTACTGCTAACTGAATGTACAACAGACAGACAAGGGGAGATACTCATCGACATAGAAGGGGAAATGAAGGCTGTTACATAAAGAAGATAACAAGAAAGAAAATCTAAGAAAAAAAAAAGAGGCTCCAAACGTGTAACAGATGGAGAGACAAAAAGTGACGTGCACTTTATGCAGCAGAGGTAAAGGGAAGATGAAGAGGATGACAAGGATGGGTAGACTGACAGATGGTGAGACAGGCAATTTATAACCAGTGATATATTACCTTGTCAACATGAATGTAATAAAAATGGTCTTTATGGTAAATAGCCTTAAACATGCGCTGGAGCTGCCGGGAAGCTCTGCCATGAACAACCAAGACAAATGCGATCCTGACTGGGTTGGCTGGCATGTATTCTACGGAGTCCTCATCCCACTGTACATTGTTGTTGGCTTTTCCTGTTCAAAAACAAAACACAGGACATCTCTGAGTGTATCCACAGGGCAAGGGTGCAGAGAGCAGTACACATTCCACCTCAGCTCTTTCTTCAAAGGCCCTTTGTAGGGCAGGCTGAGAGCTCAGAAGGGGTGCCAGCCTGTGCCACATCCACTTTGTCCCTCTCCTTTGTCCCCACACAGGGCCATGACCCCGTGGGAAGCAGCCCATGCCCCTGGGCCTCATCCTGAACAAGGCTGCACATGCATGGACAAGTACCCAGATGTTTATGAGTTGTACTGAACTCCACCTGAGCACAAACATTTGGACCTTCACAGCAATCACCTCCAAGCTTGTAACTGGTGTCCAAATGTAACGATGGCAAGGCTAATGTCCCTCAGAAGGAAACCCCCTGCTCTGCCCCATGATCAGCACAGCTCTGCTGAGAAGCTGCTGGGACTCTGCTACTGAACAGCTGCTGGGGATTATTGACTGATAGCATTTATTTGTAAGAGCAGATGTGCCCTGGAACATTTAAATGCAACCTGCATATCTTCACTTCTTCTTGGAGGAGTGAGGCTCTTCCAATACTATTCAAAATTCCTGTTTATTTTTATTTTAACAAGTAATTTCTGGTCTTCCTTTTCTAAAGCAAACACCACAGTGCGAGGTTCAGACAGGATGTGCTGATAAACTGAAGAGCTGGAGGGACATTTCTAATAAGAAATTAAAAGTGCTTTGGTTTTGGTTTGTGTACCCACTCTGCAATTCAAAAACCAGAACACAATGTAAGAAAAACATAATTTTATCCAAAATCTGACATTCATTCTTCACAGAAACAACACCATTCTTCAGTGCTCTGACCTTGCATGGTCCTTTCTCAACAAAAATGATTTAGAAAGAAACTGAAATTTTGAATATTAGCAGACAAAGAAAGTACCTCTAAGCCAAAAAAGTTCCTACTGCCCAAATTTTCTTCTTGCAAATGTTAACTTAATTCTTTTTTTAAATGAAAGGAATAGATTAAAAGCTACTTGATGTGTGTCCTCCCTGCCAGAGGTACAATTTTCAAATTCCTAAGATCTGAGCTGTTACCAGTTTCTGCACTTTGTGCCTTTTGTGATGCCCCTTTCTCCTCCCACCTCCACATCCCCACCACCTCAGACTCCTGCAGACAGTGGAGACACTTGATTAAGGTTGTAGGACAAATTTGAGGCTGTTCCTGGGCTCAGTTATCTGACAGTCTGAGTGCAGCCACAAAGCCCACTGCACCTTCCATGACATCTCCTATGGTTATTAAAAAAACATGCTCATGTCTGTTTGATTTGATATAAGGAGCATGAAAAGACATTTGCCAAGTGTGAAGTGAGAGTAAAAGAGAGGGAAAGACACTTTTCCCAGGTTGTTGAAACTGGAAACATATGTTGATAAAAGTAAATGGTACCAAAAGCTTTCTTTTTTCCCAAATGTAATAATTACAAAATAAAGGCTGGACACAGAAAAAAAGACCTTAATTGTACTGAAACACCCTTGAGTAACTGAAACACTCCTTTTGGACAGCCACGAGAGAGAGCTCCTGCTGCAATGGCAGCAGCACATCCCAGGAGGGAATGGTTTCAGCATCTCCCACAACTCTCTCTTCAAGTTTCTCCTCAGCAGTGCTTCCCTAGCACACTTCCCTAAGTCAGAGTGTGTTTTCCTCACCCTGGAGCCACAGGAAAGCTGTCAGAGGTGGCCCTTGTGCCCTGCACATGGCTCTTTGCTGGACTGTGTAAAGGGCTAAAAGGCAGTTCCCTGTCCAGGAACACACCAGATCCCAACACCCAAGAGCTTACAAAGTGCCAGAGGCTCCCTGCCCCATGGAGCACACCCTCCTGGTCCACAGCCCCTCAAGGAACATCTATTTGCAGCAGTACTGATCATAAATTAATGCAACTTTATTGCCCCTGCTGTAGTCAGAGCAGACATTAGGAAATTTCTAGCCTCATAAGACACTCTTAACTTCACACGGGACACAAACAACTTAAGTGGCATTTCTTTAAAAACCCTCCACCAATGGTTCACTAGGACTCAGATGAATATTGAAACATTAGAAAGAAAGCTGAAATTTAATTTCTTCTATAATTTAGTTTGTTTATTATGGCCATTAGCCTATGCCCAGTTCTACTGTTTCTCCTGTGCAGCTGATGAGCTTTGCCATGCACGTGCTCAGGGTTTCTGCAGAGGGAAGGGACAAAAAGGGACTGTGAGAGAAAGAAAATGTGCTTGCAAAGAGAACTGACAGGGGAATGAAGGGCAATTGCAAAAACAAGCCATTTTTCTTTTAAACTGCTTTCATTTCAAGCTGATGATGTCTCGTCAATGAACTCAAATATTTTTAGTGGTTTTCATTACATTTTTGGATACCTCTCTTCCTAAATCAGTGGCTTTCTGCAATGATATGGAGAAGGTGAGGGGAATTTAAAATAGTCATATTGTGGGTCTTTTATTTTAATCTAACTTGCTGTCAATACCTACACTATCATTTATCTAGCAATTACTGAGAACAAAATCCTCTCAAATTTTCACCTGAAGTGCCACCTCACTGCATCAGTTTTCTCTAATAAATTCCTGCAATGGCTTATTTTGTTCTCTTCTGTTTTCTTTCTCTAACCTTTTTTTCTTTTTTTTTTTCCTTCATGTGCTAGTTCCTGCTTTCTCTTTTAGGTTTAGGATTTTTACACTTGCTTTTACCACCTGCATATTATTATGACTTTTTAAATATAATCCTATTCATGGCTGCCTGGAGTTTCAAAAAGGAAGACAGTTACACTTTTTCCATCTGCCAGACTATCTGCTACTTTGCTGTATACTGTCACTTCCCTGGTTTTAGCTCATGGCTGTTTAGCACCCTCTGTTTTGCAGACTACTTCACTGATACAGAACCAGCCTGGGATGCAAAAAAGAAGATGAAACTGGCAGGAAACATTCAGTTGAGGATCTGCTTACTGAAAAATACAGTAGGATTTCAGATCTGTATGAGCAATGTCAAGACCTGAATAGCTGCAGCCTCTCCATTTCTATAAAATTCGTGCAGACCAAAGCCTAGCACATCATGTCAGTGCCTGCATATTAATGAGCTGCCTCAGGTAGGAGCACATCCTCCTCAGGCTGTTGGGACAGGATACACAGGAAACACATCAGATGACTTCACTTAACATCCTACCATTCACTACTGATAAAAGTCTACAAGGATTTTAAGGAAGCACTTGGATTTGACAGCTCGTTCAGTACATCACTGCACTGCATTCTGCCCATGCACTGAAGCTCAATCCAGGTGCTGATTCCAGTGGCCTCCACCCTCAGCCACTTCAGTCCTGCAAAAAGCAGCTGCCAACATCACCTTCTTCTCACCCAGCAGGTACAGAGGATTCATGGATAGCTTCTTTCCTCTGCAGCACTCCCAATTCCCAGCCTTCACTGCACTTGTCACCTCTCAACATTCCATCATCCACCTTTCCAAGAAAAATGAGTCAAGCCCACACAAGAGAATTCCCATCTCCACTTGCACAGGTCACTTGTGGCAGTCTCAGTGGACTGGAGGTGCACTCCATCTCACCTAGAAAGCTTCTCTGAGTGTGGGTATTGCCTGTTGAATGAAGTTTCCTACATGCTTAGGGAATTCCCTTTTTCTGGGATAATTTACACAGATCAGGGTTTTACAAACCTTAATAAAAAGCCCACAATGTCAATACAAAGTAAAACAAAAAACATCAGTACTTTATAAACCATAATAAAAGCCCCATAATGTTAATATAAAACAAAACCCATGAAGAATATGATTGTTATAGTTCCATCTTGGGAGCACAGCTCTCCCCTCAAAATTGCTTTGCACATGTGAGTCAGTGGGGAGAGTGAATGGAACATCCTCTTTATGGCCATTTGGCACAGGTGAAACAGCCCTGGCCTTGAAGCAGGACTTGTCTTAAGCTTCCTCAAAGTTTGCTGTTTCATTACACAATGGGAACAGAGGACAGAAGAGCAACTTCTCATGTTGCCTTGCTCCAGAGAAACTGGAACCTCAGCAGAAGGGGAAGTGCACACCCAGCTCAAACAAACATCTTCCAGCCCTTGTACCAAAGAGCACTTATTGTGCTACCCTCCACTGAAAACAAACCACAGCACTTTACTCTGCCACCAAAAGTCTTTCACAAACTTACTGAGAAGAGTGAAAGCTCCCCTTTTCCTTCCTGCTCAAAGCCTGACATCAATGTGTTAGCAGGAAAACCTGTACCTGTTTTTGAAGATACCAGGAGAACCTCAGCTCTAGTGCAATTTTAACTTGCATTTTCTGTTCCCAGAGAAATCAGTACTCATAATTAAGAGTTTAATCTTCAGCTGTTGCAGTATTACTAAATTCCAGAATAACGAAGACAGTGCAATCATTTTCACATTTGTTGTGATGCCACATTATATTCAATCATCCTCCAATATAACTCAAAGCCAGCCTGCTGATCTCTTAGCTCTACTGTTAATTAATGGGATCACACTTCCCCAGCAGCACAAAGCAATCTTTCAATCTATTTTGTGAGCCATCTTACATTTTGTAACTCAATCCATCACCTTGTGCTCTCAGTTTGGTATTGTCTTGGCTGTCCAACAGATTTCCTCTGCACACAGATACCTGGATGCTGCTGACTTCATCTGAGCATAGCTGTGTGTGTACACTGTGCCCTGACCCATGAATCAGTGGATAGAGGACATTAATGGAGTTATTGCTGTGTAGCTCAGCAGAGTATTTACTGCTATTACATCCATTAATGCAATCAGAAGCCCTGTCACTATAGCAGGAGTATGAGCCAAAATCACTCCAAAGAGGCAGAGCTCTGTAGTCCCTACTTAAACTCCTAGGAGCAGCCCCATTCCCTTCGGTGGGACCATTTCTGAAACAGCCAGATGTGTGGTAGCTGCTGAACTCAGATTTCCACTATCAACTCCTTTTCAATTGCTCACAACTCAACAACACAGCAGGTTGAAAATTTCC